AGGAGGCGTTGGACGAAGGGGTGGATTGTTTTGCGAAGCAGCATGGTCTTGTGCAGCAAGTTAATAGTATAAAGCGTGCTGCTAGATTTGAAAGGGACGATATGGAGGCCTTTGACGATCCTGAATTTCCAGAGGATGAGAAATCTGCCCTGCGGGACGAACGGAAAGCGACATTCTGGCAGCAGACGCGGAGTCTCCGCGGCGCGGTCCTGGTCGTTGGAGCGCTTTCAGGAGTTTGTCAGGGGTGGACGCAAAGTGTGTTGAATGGGACAAGTATTAACCCTAAAATTCACGATTCTCGATGGCGTGTTGGCTAATTTTGAATACTAGATGTTCCCCTTGGGAAGGCATTTAATCTGAACCTCGATCCGCAAAACGGAAGCACAAGAGATCAATTTGTTCTCGGTGCACTCTCAGCTAGTGTGACACTCGCGTCCGGCATCTTGTGAGCTAAGCAACATACCTTCCTAAACGAACGTGCTATTAATTCATAAGGATAGGGGCCTGTTTATTTCTGATCCCATCCAAAACCACTGGCTTGGACGGCGTGGTGCTGTGGCAGTTTCTGCGGTGGTTAGTCTGGGAGCGACAATTGGTGTCGTTTGCTCACGAACCGAAGCCCAGATTATTGGCTGTAGGTTGCTGATTGGAGCAGCTTTGGGAGCCAAAGCGAGTGTAATCGCACCATTTTTGGCGGAACTCGCGCCAGTCCACATGCGCGGGGCCCTCTTGTCGACATGGTGAGTATGATCGGCTCTGTGGCTCAGAAGTTGTTTTAACAAGAATCCCAGGCAAATATCGGATGCTCTTGGTATATTTCTTGGGGATGTATCCTGGAAAGTGCTGGATTCATTCAAACTGGATCCGGACACAGAATGGCGCTTTCTGAGTGCGACCACTCTAATTCCAACCATTCCTTTAATGGTAGCTTCTTACATGATACCAGAAAGTTGGATGTTCTTGATGAAGACGAGGGAATATCCTCAGGCGGCGGAGGCAGCTTGTCTCTACCGGAGACACCCTATTCAAGGATACCGAGATATCATCTCTAGCCATTATCAAATGGAGGCAGAAGCAGAGTTGATGGAGATTCGCAAAAGCACCAAGAAGGAGCATTCCGTGGTTAGGCAACAAGATGAAGAGAATACACCCAGTCATCCCAGTCATGCTGTTGTGGATGAGACCAAACCGTTATCAGAACGTCTAGCTCACAACTTGCCAGGTTTGTGTAGGCAATTCCACGGACCAGGGACTGATGAGAATTGCCCTCATGGCTATCATATGAATGAGACGCACTTTTACCAGAGGATTGGTCAGATACTTAGAGATCCCCGTTGTCGCCATGCTCTAGTGTCTGGAGGAACTGTGATGCTGACACAATCACTATGCGGAATCAATGCTTTCGCATTCTTTTCGTCTTCACTCTTGCATGCTGGCCTTAGCCCAAACTTTTCCGTGATACTGGCTCTTTGTTTTGGTGCCGTCAGCTTTGGATTTGGTCTATTGACGCCATTTCTGAGTGATCGACTAGGAAGAACTAATTTAGTTCTCCTCGGATTGCCCGTGATGTCTGTGTTCATGTTTATATTGGCATCCCTTTTTGAACTGGACAACAGTGCAAAGACACCTGTTATCATGGTTGTAAGTCAACATCCATGCAGTGAAATATTTCCTTTGCCGTTGCTGACAATGGGTTAGTTCACAATGCTGTTTACAGCTGTTTATGCTTTTACCCTGGGACCAGCCGCCTTCAGTCTCTCTGCTGAATCCTTTCCAAGTACCGTCCGGGAAGCCGGGATGGCAATGTGCGTCTTCATAAATATGACATCCCTTGGAATCCAACTCTTGATATACCCTTTTATTACTGGCCCAATTGGTTTCACAGCAAGTCTTTGTATCTATGTGAGATACCCTGCCAACACTTTATTGTGAGGGTTGCTAATGATCTTAGGGATGTGTCGATATCGTCGGTTTCATTGCGTGCTTCCTATTTTGTGTTGATACCAGGGATCGGTAAGTCCATGGAACTCGGCCCCTTTGGCATATCTATAGAGAGCTGAACATGCAATAGTACGCTGGAGCAACTGCAATTCAGTTCTGTTCCTCCCATTATCGTAAGTGCCGGCCCTCGTCTTGTTTTCCGGCGTACTTCTCACTCGAAATTAGGGTACATTGCGAGTATCGTTTATTTTATGTGCTTCCGGAGGTGACCGGAAAATGTCTTGAATTCGTGACGCGACGGATTCGTAGGAAAGGCAGAGAGGAGGATTTGACGGACGGTGATAGTCTTAATAGCAGCTCGGAGACACAATGGGGCCTGATCCCGTTTTACCGCTGGGCAAGAATTCAAGATCAGGATCGCCCATCAGTCTATCAACAATTGCTGCATGTTTTCCAGAGGATGGCCCCCTACCCGGTGGATTGCAATGAAATCGTGGGGAAACGCCAGACCGGAAGCAGCAGCAGAAGAGGATGGCCAAACCTTCCGCTTTACTGCTGGGAAAACGGAATAGGAACAGTCTCAATCAATCAATATGACTTGTCCTCATGAAAATATATCGTAGATGCATTTCGTTGAAATGGCTGGTTGCCTGTGTGCCTTCGCAAGAGCAAGACAGCCATGCTGACATAAGCCATCGGCTGTGATCTAGAAGCAGCACTAGTCCCAACAGGGGAAGGCCGGGCATAGGGTGGAGCAGAGAGACCAACGATAACGCCGACAAAATCATCCCGACCCTTTCATCGCCCTCCCGCCTCGGAGCCTCGCTGGATGGTGCACTCGAATGAAATGTCATCATCTCAGACCATGGCGGCGTCGCTGATGGGGCAAGCGCCTCATGATGCGGCGCCAGAGAGGTCAACGTTCGAGCTCCAGGCCGACCGTTGCGAGCCTCCTCCCGCCCGCGACGTCACTCCCAAGCTCGAAGCATCCGATACCGCGACGGTTGATCAATTCAAAGCGGTTTCCAAGACTGCTTTTCTGGCTTTATCCGGTATGGCATATGGTAACTGGTCCTGGGGGAATCGCTGACAAGCTGGGGCTAGATGATTATAAGAAACAGACCGAGCGTGAAAAGCAAACTGCCGCAAGTGCCCTCCTAGCACAACTATTAGCAGGCAAACCGTCGGAGGAATCTCCTGAAGGAGAACAGGGGTCCAGAGAGAATCAACAATCTGTTGATATGCAACTTGACGCAAGAGTGCCTGAGGCTTCGAATTCGTCGCCTGGTCCATCGTTACAATCGCAGCAGCACCTCGAAAGCTCGGCCCTCGACCCAGCCGCATTGCCCACCAGTACCGCCCCTAGCACGCCCTGGGATGCCAAAGAGGTACAACCCTCTGTTGATGATGGGATGGTGCCCGAGGCTTCTGCGGACGATAGCGTTGAGAGGGAACACAATCTCATTCTGGATGCTATACAAAGTAACGCAAAGGCGAACGCAGATTTGAATTCGCTTTACTCAGAATTTACCCCACTTCCAGCTCCTAGGACTGCGAAAGAAGCCCTTTTACAAAATGAAATGTTTACAGATTCATTCTTTAGTGCTACTGGTGGGCCGACACCTAGGATTGTTAGCTATCCGGACCTACCCACTCAAAAGGAAGCTAAAGGCGTTGAAAATGATTCTGAGTCTGTTTCTGGATCGGAACCTCGAATACAGGCCTACGCTAAGTTGGAGTTTGACGACGGGCACTTTTACGTTAATACCTATTCGTTCATTTTGGGCCGAGATGTCCGTGCCGCCCGCGCCGCCTTTCAGCGAGAATATCAATTGAAACAGCAAAAAGTTCAGCACGGGAATGGAGTGCGAACTCCAAAGCGAATGAAGTCGGAGGGGAGCCACGCAATAATGGGTAGCGTGATTAGCGATACTGGTGGCATCATGGGATTTGACCCAGACGTTCCCCAGCATTGCCCACCCCAAATGAGTTGGAAGTCCTCTAATTCCTCTAATGGTCATCATAACCACCCGGTGCTGCATATGTCCCAAACGGAGCCGGACATGACAACCCCGGTGGAACCGCCTAAGGTAATGAAGGATTACAATGCCCTCGCGATGGAATCATTGCAGAATGGAAATGAGCCAAAAAGGGTAGACACGCTTTCGTTGTTACCAACGCCAGATTCCTGCCCGATCATACCGATACATCCGCCATCGTCAGCCAATGGCGTTCCCTCATCTCATCGTGGTATCTCGAGAAAACATGTCAAGATCTCTTACAACTTCAACAGGAATATATTCGAGATGGAAGTTATGGGGAGAAATGGTGCCTTTATGGGAGCAGATTGGCTTGCACCAGGTCAGGTACGGCCTCTTCACAGTGGAGACTTTATTCAAATTGGAGGAGTGAGAGTGAGGTTCCTGCTTCCTGACGTTCCGATTGGAGATACGGGGTCCGAGATGGTGGATTCTCCAATACCTGATGCATATGATGAGGTGTCTCCTCAACCGGAAGAAGATGATTCTCAGGCCAGAAGCGATGCGGAAGTCGCTGATAATTCCGGCGAAGATGAGCAGGAGACCAAAGACGCTGAAACAGCCAAAGTGAAGAAGCTCAAGGTTACGCTATCAGAGCCAAAGCTGTCCCATGAAGAAAGTCAAACTTCTTCCCAGCCAACTCGCCGCCGCGGCCCTGGACGTCCACCGAAGGACGGCATTATGTCGAAACGTGAGCGGGCTGAAATAGCGCGTGAGCAGAAACTTGCTGCTCGCCGTGAAGCAAATGGTGGGATTACGCCGCCTCCGTCTAGTAAAATCAAGGTTTCTAAGTCCGGCAAGGAAGGGGAAGCCGAAGATCCAGTAGCAGTTAAACCAGAAAAGAGAAAATACACCAAACGAAAGAAGCCGGATTCTGGTCCTGGAGACTCTGTGGTCCAGTCCATAGAAGGAGCCGATGGAAGCGTTGCGCCGGTACAAGAAGAGCTTGTTAAGCCAACCCCTGTGAAGAAGCGCAAACCATCCAGGTCAGTCTCCCCGAATTACCCCCCGGAAAGCTTTTATTCACCGAAGGAGCTCGGGAAACCGCCATACAACTATGCCGTGTTGATTTACGATGGGTTATCAGAATCCCCAACTCCCATGACTTTGAAGCAGATTTACAGAGCTTTGAAACTGAAATATCCGTACTTTCGCTTTAAATGCGAAACAGAGGGCTGGACTTCTAGTGTGCGCCATAATCTGAACGGCAACTCCCATCTCTTCATGCACGCGGAACGAGATGGCAAGGGTTGGTCGTGGAAACTGATTCCAGGAGCATCGGTTGACAAAGAAAAGAAACGCCGTCCATCACCGCCTCCTGCTCCTCCTCCTCAGGACATTCCTAATCTCAATAATCAGCATTTCGTACCGGGGGGACTGCGTCGGGTATAATGTTCGGCATCCTATGGAGCACAGCATCTCCTCCACCGTACCAATACAGCCATCTCCAACGCCTAACTCCATGGGCCTCCACCCCTACCTACACCTCCGCTCCACCCTCTCGGCGATATCCATTTGCGTCAGCGACCGCACTACACAGGTCGACGCAAAAACGACTCCCTCAGCCAATTCTCTTTCCTTCAAATCTCCATCATCACGCTCCACCGGACTCTTCCACACCTCCGCCCTCCTCATTTCCCCACATCCAACGGGCATCGTCAGAATTCCACCCAAAGCCCCTCCCCAAGCAAGCAGCAAGCAAACCCCCCCTTCCACCCCCCCCCGCTAGCCACGCCAGCAGCACCTGCACAGCCTTATAACGCCCCCAAGCATTATCAAGTTCCAGTCGCAGCCGTACAATGCAGCTCCCCATCCTAGTCAAGTTCCGCCTATTCAACACCCTCCCACACCCGCTCCTCCGGTACAACAAATGCCGCAAATGCCACAAATGCAGCCTACACCGCAGCCGGTGCCGCAGCCACCAGCTCAAAACCCCCAATCTATATCGTCTTCGTCTCATGTTAGCGAAGATCCAGCGTTCTTTGCCCGAGCGAACCAAGCCATTGATAATTTCGAGGCAGTTCTTATGGAAGATTACGAAGACCAAGAGTATATCAAAAAGGTCCTCCGGAGCGCTCGTGATCGTGTTTTGAATGGTGCAAAGGAGAGTTCTTTTCCCGGTGGCGAGCCAAAGGATGAAGCTGTGATCATCGATGCTTTACGGGGGATAATCGGCCAACTGACAGAGGGCCAAGGCCAAGCGGGAATTGGTTAACCGGTTCCTTTTGATACCTGAGGCTCCGGCTTGCCATATCCTTGTGTTCATCAAAGAGCTCGGTTTAATCCATGTTATCAAGTACCCACCACAATCTTCTTGGAATGGCATCTTGGGAGCTTTTGGTTTTCTTCCACCTGCTTCGTTTCCGTTTCCCTTCATAATGAATGAAGGGAATACAAGCTGGCTGGCTCGGGGGAGCAAACTTTGACTATCCCTTCAGCATCCGTTAATCAGTGAAATGGATATGGCCAGATACTGTCCTGGGACAGACTTATGACCCCTTAATGCTTTTAACCACTTGGGTACATATATTTTCCTCACGCCCTTACTCGTTTTTCCTCACGCATTTCACTCGTTGATTCGAGAATGCACTGGGTCTGCGCATCCTTTGCCTTATTTTATGATATCCAAAGACCAGAGCATGGCGTTTGTAATGACGCTCTTACATTTCCCCGTACTTAGCTAATTGGAATATCTTACTTATTCTCCTTTTTACTTCTCAATACGGGATTTTGGGATACCTATCCAGAACCAGCTTTGAACCAGCTTCAAATCTAACTATTCATCTATTTCATAAAGTAGTATTCATTGGTGCCAGGGGCTTTGTAGTCGATCAATTTCATGGTCTTCAAAAAGTCGATGTTCACGATGAAGGCAGTTCAGGACAAGGATATCTCCGGTAAAAAAACGTGTTGCGGTTCTAGGAAGGACAAACTATTCCAGGGGGCTCCATACACTGTTTAGTAGATAAAGGTTGTGTGAAAAAATCAAACTAGGATAAGAGGGAGTATACACCAGCGGATAACAACCACAAAATATATTTGGTGGAAAGACATGCCGTCAAAATAAACGTGTAATGTACCCTGTGAGAAGTGATGTTGCTCTCGCGACAAGCACGGACCCAAGGTGGTTCCAACAAAATCAAAAGGTCATAAAAACCCGATGTGTTGACGTAGAACAGAAAAAAACGCTTGATTTAATAATAGAATTTGGATTACATCGCCATCTCGGCCCTTAATTTCTCAAGCTCGGCCTCTTCGTCGTCTTCTTCGGGTTGGGCCTCGGGTTCACCTTTGACTAGGATACATGTTAGCGCGCTCTCAAGCGTACAGACAAAGTCTGGTTAAGGTACACTTACGCTCTCCATTCGCCGCAGAGGGTAGCGTATTGAGTCTATCTCCCACAGGGACAGTTCCCGTCTTAAGCATACGTTCATCAATGGCGGCTTGCTCCATGCCTTCGAGCTCAGCGTCCAGTTCCGAGTCGTCCACCGGTTCGCCAATCGAGGTATTTGTGATGGCGTATGAAATTTCTTCCGTAAGTGCATGTTGCTCACGTACTTGGTCCCTGTACCAATATTAGAGGAGAAACAGTGAAAATAGACAAAGTGAGGCAGCCACGCACATCATCTCATCAACCTTCTCGATTGTAAGGCCACTGTGAATTTGCTTCATAGCAGCTCCGGCAGTCTTCATCGCATTAAGCGTTTCTTGGTTAATATTCGCGGCTTCAATAGAAAATATTTGCTGCTCAATCTGGATGAGCTGGGCCTGTGTTTGTTCAAGGGACCGTTCGTGGACTTTTTTCCTTCGTAGGGCAGCTTTGGCAGCTATATAAGTGTAACCAAGCAAATTAGTATTGCTCATTGTAACAAATTTGCACCGTTCAATACAACGCTGGTAAAGCAGAGGAATACATATGGGCCAAAAAAAGAAATCCATACCATTCTTGTTTGTCGTGACATTCTTCCTTGCGATAGCATCCTGTTCCATCATCTGCGTTTCTAAATATTTTTCCCTCTTCTGCAACATATCCAACTGTTGTCTTAAAGAAAGGATAGCATTTTTAGGCGCATCCTTCTTTGATTGGGCCGAACCACCACCGAAAAACGACCACATCTTGCCTAGCCGATAGAGATGGCGGATGGAAGGCCAATACGATGGCTTACGGGTATGTGGAATGTAGATCTAGGAGAGACCCCCTAGGCAGCGGAGGATATCGATTCACGATCTCGAAGCGCTTCGGGGAATGGTTGAGCAGGCGGTATATGGGTGCGGGGTGGCCTATTTGAGGTGGGGAGGTGCGAGAGGGCTAAAAGAGGTGAACGAAGTGAGGTCAACTCAGTATAAATGATAGAAGGCAGGCTTGCTGAACATGGAAGAGTTGAAGCTCATGGATATCAGTGTTGGAAAACAGTTCGGTCGGTCTCGTCGTGCTGGTCATCACACGAGTCTCCACTCGAGTATGACATCGCCTGACAAGGGAGGCCGTCACGTGGACGCCCAAAAATTTGGCCGTTAGTAATCAGCAAGCTCGACGAAGACACGCACCAAGTTATATTGCCCATTGTTGAAATGGCGCCGTGGCTAGCTATGTGATATGTTCAAAGCTCAGACTCTGTAATGGCACAAGACGCTCCGGGGCCCCTCCCAACTCAACTTGTTTTCCTTTCAGAGATCCCTAATCTTTCTTCTGGGACGAAAATCCGCTTTCTGGGGTGGTATGTAAACGTGTAGTTTATATGACCTATAGCTGACCGTGTCTAGTGTATCAAAATACGCAGTTGCAAAAGGCGTTCTCACCCTTGAAAGCCCTCCCACAGCGGACCAGCATCGATCCTATGGGCTCGCAAGGCCTGCCATAGACGTCAACATCAACCTCCTACTTGGCTCCCTTAGCCATTCAGAAGTTGATATTGGAAGCTGGATCAATATTGTCGGCTACGTGAGGCAGCTGGTACCAGCGCCCAATACCACACGTCAGTATCAACTGTCTAGGGCAGGAAGCAAAGACAAGGCACCCCAGTCGGTATACGTTGAAGCATTGATGATTATTCCAGCCGGCGGAATCCGGATTGGCGAATATGAAAGGGTGGTATCCGAGTCTAGGGAATTGTATAGGAGGTTAAAGTCTTCTAGCTGAAAGCAAGGAGTGGTGCAATTGTCAATTCGACAAGTTTACAACTCCCGAGAACTTAGTGGACCCGAACCCTCCGCTGGCGGGGATGTTGCCTACGATGTTAGCAGCTAAAGGTGCCACTTAAGAACGCGTGAACTGGAGCCTCATCCAAAACTCCAAGTCGAGAAGTTCAGAGGTTGCTCTCGAGTGACTGCTCGCCGATATCCACTGGTTATGAAATACTTAACAGAAAGCCGGCTAATCTCACCCGCCAACACATTAGAATTAGAGATAAGAATATAAAACGCAAGATCAGTACAGAAAGAATTAGTGGTATACATAGCCTTTCTAACGCCACTGCTGTGAGCATCCCCTCATAATTAGTCGGATCTATTTTTCCCTCATAGATGCAATGCACAAAGCGGTCTTGCAGCCAAGTAAACTGGAAGATCTTCCACCCCAAAAACGCCGAGCATGTGCGACCTCTTCAACAGCGCGGGATACACCAGGAAACCGGCGTGAAAACCGCCTTAGAACATTAGACTTCTTCTTTCTTCTCTATATCTGGAGCCACCAAAAGGGGCTCTTTCCCACTTTTATCCAGGGCCTTCCTTTTGCCATCTAATTTCTTCTTGTCCACTTGCATGGCCCGGATAAGCGCACTCTTCATCCGGATCTTATATCCATATCGGTAAAACACAAAGGGGATCGGTATAATTAGCACTTCGAGCAGAGCCAAAAGAGTACCAGCCCAATTTGCCCCTAGTCGGCCGTACATATACGATCCCACGAGCGGGAATACACCACCGATGACACTTCGCATGACAGCGTTGCCGGCCATGGCCGATGCTGCATACACGCCATAGCTATAAGTCAAGTAATTGCTAGCGTATATGAAAACAGTGGTGTTGCCGGCACCGAACGGTATTCCAGCGAGGATGGGAAGAACCCAATGGACTGATGTTGGTGAACAAGTCCACGCAAACCACATTTGCCCGACCGGCGCAAGGATCGCAGCAATGCACACCACGGAGACCATGGCTTCGGGACTAACCTTGCCGGTTTCCGGATCGATTTTGTGGCTGTTGATCAGTTTGCGGAGGAGGGGTTCGACAAATACGACGATGAGACCGCCTATGCCGATGCCGATGAAGGCGAGGCCTGACATGCCTGTGGACCAACCGCGAATTTCACGAAAGACGATTGGGTATGCAACGAAACACAGGTAGAGTATCGCATACACAAGCGAAATATAGATATTCCAAAAGATGCTATAGTGGCGGTGTGAGCATACAGCCGTTTTTCAGCTACAGGGATCGTCCACTTACCAGATTGGCTCCGTGACAGCCATGACAAAAGGCCGGCTAAGGTTCATCTTGAGCACTCCGGAGAGAGATTCTTTATGGTCGTAACGGCTCCACCACCTGGGATCATCGGTCTCCATGCGCATTTTTGCGGCTTTTTTTTGAAGGAGAACCGGTGCGTAGGTCTCCTTCATGATGCAAGAGAAAACGAACGCAACTCCAGAAAGTATCAGCAAGATCCAATTTGTCCACCTCCAACCCAGGTACTGCGTAACGAAACCACCGATGATAGGACCAAATACTAATCAAAGAACGTTAATTGAATAAGTCAACACAACTGAGGTGTTGATCGCATACCTGGCCCATTCAGAGGTCCAATACTCCAAATTGAAAATGCCAAAGCGCGACGGTCATCATCGACTACGTCAGCAACGCTACCAGGCGCACTGGATATCATTGCGGAGCCCGCAATGGCGCCAAAGAACCGTGTGACCAAAAGCGCTTCGATCGAATTGCCAATGCCGCAGGGTATGATTAAGAGGATGAAGACGACCAAACTTATCACACCGACAGGCTTGCGACCATACATTTCACTTAAGGGAGCCAATACGACAGAGCCGACAGCCAACCCAAAAAGATATAAAGTTAGCCCAAGCGTCACGATGGTCACTGAAGTATTGAAATCTTTTGCTATCTCGTCGAGACCGGCTGTATAACTGGTGGAATACATGACACTGAATTATGGATAGTTAATTGAAGGGCTCTCCTCAGATGGGCAAAGTCCCACTCACATTACCCAAGTGTTCCATGATAAAAAGCCAATCACCATGCTTTTATATGCCAAAGACCAATTCCGGGGGTTTTCAGGGTCATTGTCTTCCCAATCCACCTCGAAGTTGGGATCCGTGGTACCTGTTGTAGCCACTGAAGTGACTCTTCGTGCCAAAGACGAATGCGAAATCCTGGATATCCTGGATAATTGAGGAGTGAGAACATTTTGAGGAGTTTCTAGGGCGATTTCCAAGCTCTTTTCTGAAGCAGTGTCAACGGAGGAGTCTGTAGGCGCATTGCCATGGCTTTCAGGCGACTGGGGCACTGCTGTCCGGTTGGGTCATTACCACAATTTGGTTTTCAAATGCAACTGCGGTTAGCAGTTATCGCGCTGCTCAGGACAGTGGCGTAGCTCGTCTATTTGGAGAATGCATTCGTCTCTGTCTCCTAGATTAGCAAACGGCAAGCTTTTGGTCATTGAATCGTTGTAGCTGCAAGCGGCTCGGTTCACTTCGACAAGTGACAACAGAGGATACGGGGCAGAGAGGAATGATTCTGAGAGCAGACAACTGAAGGAATATATAAACCCCCATCCCGCACCAGCATCATCCACCCCACAATCATTGTTTTATAGAGTTAGCAGCTAGTGATTTAACCCCGGCATCTTTTGACTGCGGGACCCAGGCCAGGCGGTCACCCACCGGCAGAGTAGAGATACAAACGCAATCTCACCCCCGTAAAGTCCGCGATTATGCCCGAGAAAAAGGAAAAAGGCATAGCCTAAGAGGAAAAGTGAAGTCGGCCATCACACTCTCTGGCCCAAATTCGCTGTCCCAGAGGAGCGAGCGGTCCTCAGCTCATGGAGGTAGTATCAAGAGAACTCGGGCTGCTTCAGATGTCAACCAATTGCCGCCCGAAGCAGAAACAAGCGAGCGGAGTCGAGAGCGGTGCCGAACTTCCGTGTCGAGTTTGAGCTAAAAAAGAAGAATATTAATAAAAGGGCCGTCACGGCAACCGTCAACAGGATCGCCTCTCAAACTGTGGCTGGCTTGCGGACTGGGAAGCCAACCGGAATGGCATATTATAGATGGAGTATGGCCAGTTGTAAACCCATCGAGATGCACCGCGAGAAGGTCATTCCGCGCTCTCGGGTCTCAAATATCTGAAAATGTCTCCATTCCTTTGAGCGCGACTGTGTGTTGGGAGTTGATTAGCGCGAGGGCAGGGTTTCATTCCGAGGTCCTGGCACAAGGATTCGCCTAGGCTGCTTGACTCTTCAGACTTCACCCAAGCATCGGCCTGGAGGCATGATTTGCCACTATGCGGGCCGCAAAACGACAAAATCATCGCTATCTTGTTGTAGCCAGAAGAGTTGACCTCGCGCATTGGCAATCTGAGAGGCTCATCAGGTGTGCCGACAATCACCTGCATCCTGCGCATATCAAAGTCGTCGAAACCACTTAGTCGCCGGTTATCGCTCAAATTGCTTTTTCTTTGTTCATTGCTTTTTTTTCCCTCACCCGCCTGTTTTACAATAACGTGCTCTCAAGCCGAGATCGACATCAAGATGGTGTTGTTGTGCGAAGATTCATCCCGAGAAATCCGGAGACAGTATTTCCATTGTACGGAGTAATAGTTATCCATACGAGAAGGGGTTGGCGAGCCATTTCCTATGTATTATTATTCCACTGAGGAAGCGAAGAAAGTCTATTATCAGAATATTGGGCAAGGTAGTTTTATTAATGAATGAGGTCTTGAGGTATCTCAACATCAACAGAGTAAACGCGAGAAACGCCTCCTGCATCAAAACAAATTACAGAGCCATGAAGGGGACGGAAAGACATCATGAATCATTGAGCTACGCCAAAGAAGACTTGTCCACAAAAAGAGAATTTAGTCCTTATTGATAACCCTCAGGCTCCTCCTCGGGTTCAACATCACCCCCAAAAATGTAGGCTCCTGCCCTGCTAACAAGTCATCCGTACTGCTGTTGGCCGACCCGGGTCTCGCGCCCCGCGAGTATTCACTTGCAGCAAATGCATGCGCCGCCGCGGCAGCGGGGGTCATCGTAGCTCCACTACTAGATCCAGCTATCGACCGGTCGTGCACGCTCAGGTTCTCTTTTGGCCAGAGGTGGGAGAGTTTGTCGCCATATCGGCTTCCGTCGGATGCTCGTTGGGCAGCGGCAACGTGGTGCTTGTAGAGTGCAAGCTGCTTGCGGTATACATAAGTGCAGAATCCTAGGTAAGCGGCGAGGATGGCAAGGCAACCCGCGACCACACCCGCTGCGATGGCAGCAACGTTGAGTCCGTTGCTCTCGCCGTTAGGGTGCTGGGAAGAGTTGCCCGGTCCGCCTGTTGGAGATGAGTTGGGCACCGTGTAAGTAATCGGTGTTCCAGTCGCTATCGGTCCTTCAGTGACGTGAACGGCCGGAGTTGTTACTGTTGCTTTTCCCAGATCATCTCCTCCGATAACGGATTGGACGGCTTTTGGGACACGATAACCATAACTCCCACTCAGGCCATTCTTTCCATCTTTTTGGGAGTGTTGTTGGTTCAAAAAGTTACCTCCCTCCAGAGCAGTGTATTTAGTTTGCCATCTTAGCTCCGACGCATCAAAAACGTATATTCCTGGACTGTCACAACTCAGATCCTGCCCGACATAACCCCCTACCACAACGATCTGGGAGTTCCATATATTGCAAGTGTGCCCAGCTCTAGCCGGGGGGACGGATTGGCCGTCTGTATCAACCTTGACCCAGGTGAAACTAGGGACAGTCAAAATCCACATATCGTCGTATTGCTTTTGTCGGCCAAATGGAATGAGGTTTTGGCCACCGTAAAGGTACACCTGGGTACTACTCCCATCCGCAGCGGAAGCTGCCACAGCACAGGGGTTGACTCGGATATCCGGAGTGGTCCCGCTCGTTGCTTGCTTATACCAAGTAGAATTCGCAATATCGTAGATGTCGATTACATTCATCGACGTCTAGTTTTCGTTAGTTCTACCAGTTCATCACAACCCATATTCGAGGGGGTGACCAATTTTATTTACTCACAAAAGTCTCGTTTGTACCTCCTGCGAGTCCGAGGATGATGCCTTCCTTGCCATATCCCGGAACGTACACGAATACTCCATCTGCACGCTCAGTGAACCCGGCCGAATCCTGTAGGCCCCCTTCGGTGATATTTCGCCAAATTCCATCTGCTCCTGCCACCCTGCTGTCTCCTCCTATTTCCACCTGATCGTTGCTATATCCTGGAAATGTATATTCGATCATCGACTTGAGATACACCCTCGCGATCGACTGTGACCAACCTTTGGTTGTATACCCGTCCAGGTGACCACCGAAGTACCAGCCTCTTCCAAGCTGAGCAACGCCGATGCCAGCACCCTCTGCTGATCTTTGTACCGGTTTACCACCCCCATCTGAATTTCTACCTCTGGACGTTGTCGGGTTTGTATGCTCCTTCCACTCTCCGGAAAGTATATCATACTCCCACAAGACGAATTCAACAGGGTCCGCTGGAGGGTTGTCCGAAAACTCTCCACCATAAAGGAAGAGCGAGGTATGGGAGTTCCATAAGTACCCGTTAGAAACCGGCGGGGGCCCTGAAGGCTTCTTTAAGCCTTTTAATTTCGGTGAAGAGATATCCCAATCGTTCCCTAGGTCAAGGCTTAGAAAATCATTATCTATGCGACGGTGTTAGTCTATAGCATCCAATCCAACGGGTCAGATGTCAAACTTACTCCATGTGTTGTCGGATTGGCTGGATTGGCTGGTAGATCTTCCACCATATATATACAAGGTGCCGTTGACGATTGCTGCTTGTTGCGACCACCGCTTGCAAACATCGGTTGGACTGTCTTCTCTTTTGGCCAACGTTTTGCCGTCAACCCCGAGGATCCCGATTTTGTTCCAACTCTCCCATTTGCGGCCGAAGCTGCTCATTGCAAGAGTTAATATAAGCAGCTGCCGCATGGATAGGACGCTCATCAGCCACAAAACCATGGTTGAGCAAGGCATTAGTTTCTCAACGAGAAGACATCAAATTTTAGATAAGCCAAATCATCCCATAGCCAACAGAGCACTCTGAGCTGCTCCGGAAGAAAAAAGGGTTTTGGAGACTGGGACCCAAAGCCGACTTGTCGCTTTTCTGCATTCAGTTCTCCCAAAAAGCGACAGACAAAGGGCTGAGGGGGAACAGGGGACACTGTGGTAGGATAAAATCGGATTTGTACCGCTGGATAGGTGTGCGTAATGTCTCACTCCTAGAAATGTGGGTATTGAGTTAGAGAGCAAGCAACAATCACGCGTCACTTAGACGTTGGAAAGGACTTTTTCCAATGATCTGGATTGACGAAAAATCGTTCTTTCCGCCGTGCATCGGGGGACGCAGACTGGATTGTCGCCATCGCCACTTCAAAGATGCGAGCAAACAGAAGTAGTCCATAAAAAACCAGGAAAAGAATCAGAAATCTGGTATCTGTACCCGGTACATCCAAGCCATGCTTCTTGTTGCTTGGAGATTCCGATCTGGGCTTGAGCTGCTCAAAAATAGCAAGAGAAAGACCCTTGCTTGCCAGACGCATCAATGGGAAGCCGGTGGTGGGGCAGATGGTTCACTCGTGCATGAGAATTCAAGAATCCCCAGCCAACGAGAGTCAAGATTGCCGTCGAAGCATTCGCCCGTCTGCACCGGTTAGGGATGGCCGTTTTCATGGGAATGAAACCTCTCGACTCAGGTGGCAGGCTCACCCACCAGGACGAAGCTCAGCCACGATCCCCCGAAAAATGGCAGAGACAATCATTATTTATTATCGGAGCAGTATCTTGAACCATGTTTCTCATCTGTCCTGTCCGTTGAAGAGAGCCTTGAGGTAATAACTGATGGGAGACTCGGTTTGTTAGAAGCAAAAGCAAACAGAGCAAACACCATTGGCTCATTCAGTCACGTGCCATCCGTCGCGTGACGTCACTCCAACGCGCATCCCGCGTCAAAGGCACTATCGAGCGAGCGACACTAGCGACGCTATGGCGGCCTGGTTTGGCTATATGAGGTTTGGACAGCGCCCATTATACTGGGTGCGGCAACTGGAAATATTCGTGTTGATGCTCATTTTTGATAGTTAGTTAGCCCGAACTTTACGTGGAGTTGAGCTCGTCCCCAGTTGAAGGCACTTCACTTCTGGGCTCCTGTGAAATGCCTTGTGCCACAAAAGGTTGCGGTTGATCGCGCCAATAGCTCCTGACACTGCAAGCACCCGGGGCATGGAGGCCAGGTGCCGCCGGTTTACAACCACGTGGCTAAGCAGGAACCCGGATGAAACCTTCAAACAGATCCATCCATTGTTGTTGGGGAAGGGTTGAAGGAATATGCGCAAACATACAGAGCACGATCACCTTCACGCAGCCCATTCAACTTCTGCGATGCTTTCTGCATCGCTCTGGGAAAGGGGAAAATGGGTTAGCTGACGGGTGTATTCACCATGGCTCTGGATGATATGACTTGTTCCCATTCGGTGCAAATCATTCTCTTTAAGGTCAACTACTGCTCTCTCAAAGGCATCTGTCGTGAGGGAGGGCTGCATTCAAGACAGTCTGACAACAATTTACCCGGTATGTCGGGTATATTGTTTCAAGCAGTCAATATATACAAAGCAACACTGTTGCGACTCCTTTGGGATTGAGCCTCCGCCGCCAAGGGAGAAAGTGATTTGCATGCCTATCAATCACAACAGCTAAATCAATCTCCTAGGTCCCGGAGGCATTGCAAAAAGTAGGTAATGAAATCTACCTAAAGTTTGTATGCCAAGAGCTACCTTAGATCGGGGTAGCATAGATCAGCGTTTACCCACAAATTGAATAGCAAGTTAGCTCCCACACAGAGTACATGACGATTAGAAGCCAATGGCCACGAAAAAGCGTATGGCCCCACATATAACTCCGGCCTTTATAGCTAGCCTAACTGCACATGTGAAAACTTGGTAGCCGACGAACTTCACCAGGTCCGAGTTTGTTGAAGAAATAACTCCCTTAGCATATTGCAGCCACATGGATCATATTTGCGAGCGTGCGACCGAATGTAACGTCCGGGATATTCCAAGCACGCGACCTAATATCACCGGTGATATTGTTGGAATGCGCAAATCGGTTGTTATATGCCTGAAAATAAGCAATAGTAGGTTAAACCGGATTCAGGATCTCGCATGTTGTCGTCTCCTTTCCAGGATTTGCATCCTCAGCGCCTCGGCCGCAATCTCGACATTGATTACCTCGCTAACCCCTCGTCTCCAAGCATCCTCTAAGCCGCCAATTTCACCCTTTGCAGTCTCCTGTCGAAGCTTTCTTTCTTTATTCACTTCATCGGTAGCGTCTTTGGTTTCCTGTAATTCCTTCTCAATCTGCCTCAGGATCTCTTCGAGCTGAGCATTCCCAATCAACCACGCATTTTTGCCATGGGCATCCAGTAAAGATAGATTCTCATGTCTCGCGGAAAGATGTGAACTTGCTGTATACGCTTTTCGTAGGGTTTCGCGCCAATCGCTTAGAATTTCTTCCCGTTCTTTGCCTTCTGTTGAAGGGGCCTCTGGGGCCTCGTACCTTGACAGGTCAATTCCACCGGTAATAGGTTCGTTATTAGCTTTCCGTTCGAGCTCCTTTTGAACAAGATCGGAGAAAGTTGGCTCTGAGAATGTGGGAATCAAAGGGTGAAGGGTACTCTGGTGATTAGCTGGCAATTCGGCGTTGATGAGTTTGTCTACCTCAGCGCGAACTTGAGGAGTGATTTCACCATCGATGTCTAGGCAAGGCACTATTAGCATGTCAAATCAACAGTCAAAGTGGCAATGGTGGCCTACACGGCAGGGAATCATGAAATTCATTGATCAGCGACATATCGAATGCAAGGAGTTAATCGCGGGCATCAACAGCAGTCTGCGGGCCGGGTTCACCTTGAAGAGAACGGCGAAGAAGTTATCCAACGAGCTTTACTAAGCAGACAGGTCCCAAGAAATGCCAAGGAGGTAGTTTTGTATGCTTTGATTGGCCCATGAAAAGGGCACATCAGGTGATCAGATTCCTTTTACATACATCCATCAAAGTCCTTCACTCTTATAGCTCTTCATCAATTCAATTAGCAGTCAAGATCTCTTCAACATGCATGTGGTGTTTACATCTGCAATCAAACTTGCAGTCTCTACAGTCAAATGGGCAGAGATTGGTCACCTGCACTGATTGTCATGAGAAATCACATCACTACAGAGAGTGATGACATGCTGCTTGATGACCACTTCGGAATCTTCGATTTGGCCATTATCTGTAAGACTGTAGTTTAGGGTAAGAGAGTCTCAGTAAGTGGTTTGATTTTCTATACATAATGCTTGGCAATTATAGCTTTAAAAGATTCTGCTCTATTTAATTCTGGCAGTTTCTGCATTGACTGTAGACTATCTCAATATAATCTAACATAGTCAACCATTTCTCTATCCTTGATATAGAGGATGCGAATTATCCCTGCGAATGCCACCAGGTTAAAAATCAAGCATGGGTGTCTCTGTACCAATGAGATCGATGTACTCAGGATCAAAAAAGGAAGAATATTGCGAGGTGCGACCTCGAACTGTTAACGGGAAGCACAGACCCCGACATGCTGCAGAGCTGGGGAGCTGAAGAGCATTTGCATCGTTTACGTCTCACCTCTTCGAAGGAAGGTGTCGAGCGCTCGGACTACTGTGTCCGCGGCGGGTACCATCCGGTAATGTTTGGTGATGAGTTCCAGGAAGGCCGCTATGTCATTGCCCATAATAAACTTGGATTTGGACGGTCTGTCACTTCTGGGCCAAATGGGACACATCGGTGCTTGGTTATGGATGCTGCGGAGCAGCCAGGGACATGGCTTAACTGCCTTCTCCAGCTTGAAGTCGCTAGAGCCATTGCATCCCAATTGATATTGGCACTACAATTTCATGCTCAGGGGGTCGTCCACGGCGATATGTTTTGGTGCTCCAGATGACAGACCTTCACGCTGGGATTTCTGTGTTGCTCGGTGCCGGATTTCTTGATTATTTGATTAATAAGCTTTGTACTAGCCAATATAGCGCTAGCTCAAAGCTTCTGGCCCTGGAAACTACCAGCCAATCAAATCGCAGTGATTTTGACAAGCAAAAGGCTAGCGCGGGATTCAAGCGGGGGAAGGTTTCTTAGTGCCGGCCGATGCCCATGGTTGATGTCATGCTATTGACGCGTTGATGGGGAATCATGGGGAACAACCCCCTGTATATCTTCACATGGGATGTTTGCAAGAATATGACCCCTTTTCCCTTGCCGAAAGCGCCGACTACATAACCACTGCCAGCGGCCGCGAGATATCCTCACCTGGACCCTGCACAGCCAAATTCAGCTCCCAGAGTCTTCTGCGGCCTTTCGGAACGGCCGGCTGATGATTCCATAAAGGAGAGCTTCAATATGGCACGTTTCGCTATCATCACATGTGCTGTGAGCTTCTTCCTTGGCACCCTCTTTGTACTTCAGCTGTTTTCCGCTCCCGGGGCCTCGCCACAACGGAGATGGTTCAGGTTCCCGTCGAATCAGAAGCCGACCGGTGCCTCGTGCGATGATGATAGTTGCGGTTACTTGTTGGGAGTAGGAAAGGCCGATGTTACCGGGTACGTTGATGGGTTCCTGCGGCCGGTGAGGGAAAACTGTTCCTTGAACGGAGCGCTTATTGCTATTCAACATGCAGGCCAGTTGTGGAAATCCCGTTTATGGGGTATGCAAATACCGAGCAAGTTGGAACGGGTCTCCGGCAGCGGCTTTACTCGCGCGCTTTTATTGTTGGAAGCCCCAAGAACCCTGATAACAGATTTGTGTACATCGTTTCGGACATCGCTGCTGGTGACACTGCTATCAGGGATGGAGTGCTACAAGGCCTTTCTGCGTTGGGCGGAGACTACGCCCGTTATGGCCAGCATAACGTCGCGCTGACTGGAACGCACTCGCATGCTGGCCCTGGAGCCTGGCTTAACTCTTTATTGCCGCAAATCAGCACCAAAGGTTTCAACAAGGAGAGCTATCAAGCCATCGTGGATGGCACTGTACTCTCAATCAAACGAGCACACGAGTCCTTGGCCCCCGGGCGGTTGAGTTTTGCAATGGGGGAGATTGATAATGCTAATATTAACCGAAGCCCGTTTTCATACCTTGCTAATCCAGCGGCAGAAAGGGCTCGGTACGATGGCGACACCGAAAAGAAATTCTCACTGCTGAGATTTGACCGCTTGGAGGATGAAAAGACAATCGGTGTTCTCACCTTCTATTCAGTCCACGGAACCTCCCTTTACCGGAACAATACGCTTGTAGCGGGTGACAACAAAGGGGTCGCTTCGTATCTCTTTGAACGCAGCGCACGAAAAAATGAAAGATTTGCGAAGGATTTCGTTGCCGGATTTTCCCAATCGTCGGTCGGGGACGTCTCACCAAATATCGAAGGCGCCTTCTGCGAAGACACTGGGCTCCCATGCAGATTTGTGAGCTTCTCCAAACAGAGAAGTTGCAAAAATTTCGGCAGGCTGACCTTTGTTTTCTGTTTAGAACGATAGTACATGTAATGGCAAGGCAGAACTGTGCCACGGACGGGGTCCCTTTTTCCGTGAGAAAGATGAAGGCACAAAGAGCTGCTTTGAGATCGGTCGTCGGCAATATTCCGAAGCCATCCGTCTATATAACCAAATGGATCAGGAGTGGACAAGCATCCGGGGATCGTCTGCAGTTTCTTCGTTTCATTCGTTTCAAGACTTTTCGACATATAAATTCACCTCGCCGTTCAATCGAAGCAGGGAGCTCACCACATGCTCGGCCGCTCTCGGTTTTGGATTTGCAAGCGGGACAACCGACGGCCCGGGATATTTCGACTTCACTCAAAATGGCACCCACTCTCCATCCACGAAAAACCCCGTCTGGCACTTTGCTAGGGACCTGCTCCATCCGCCTACCAAGCAACAGAAAGAATGCCACAAACCGAAACCAATCCTTTTAGATGTGGGAGAGCTGGATACTCCCCTACCCAGTGGACGCCTAATATTGTTGACATCCCAGGTCCTGCGTGTTGGCCAGGTGCTCATCGTCGTGTCTTCTGGAGAAGTCACGACGATGGCTGGACGTCGCTGGAAGGAGGCAGTTGCGGAGACTGCAAAGCGGACCCTCGATATCAAGGATCCCATTGTCGTGCTGGGTGGCCCGGCCAATACGTATGTCCACTACATCACCACCGAGGAAGAATATGGCGTCCAGCGCTACGAGGGCGCCTCGACCCTGCATGGGCCGCACACACTTGCAGCCCACGTAAATCTGACCCTCACGTATCTCCCACACCTGACAGGCGGTTCCGCTCCTTCACCGCCCGTCCCACATGGCCCAGACCCAGAGATCAACACCAACCGATCGGTGTCGTTTATCCTCCCCGTCGTTTTGGATACGCCCGGAATTGGGAAGTCCTTTGGCCACGTTCTTTCATCTCCGCTCTCTGACAAGACCTTCCGGCCGGGCGACACAGTTGCGACCAAATTTGTGGCTGCGAACCCGCGAAACAACTTCCGACTTGAAGGCACCTTTGGGGCTGTTGAACGAGAGGTCAGTCCAGGCAAATGGGCGGTTGTCCGTGACGATTCAGATTGGAATTTTGTATATCGCTGGGGCCGCAAAAGCCCTGGTCTGAGCACTAGCGAAGTTACGCTCGAGTGGCTCATTGAAGACGAGTATTATTCTGTGGGCACGTCCAAAGTTGAGAGTGGGACATATCGTATGGTATACTATGGCGACGCAAAGGGCTGGGATGGAAAAGTTCGCTCATTCAGTGGTGCTGGGCCTAGTTTCAAAGTAGCTGCCTAGCTGCCCATTTTTTGGATCGATGCTCAGGGAAGCGTCGGACTTGGTGATTTTGATTTCAAGCCGTACCTACACGCCCCTACGGCGAGATACCCGTAAATCTGTAATAATTACTCTGTGCAAGAGAAGACATGCTTTCGATTCTTGATACTGGACATTATGAAACGCCTCCAGATACTTTTGACATCTCAACTTCCTCTTTGGGCTTGTTTTGTTTCACCTCGGCTGAAACAGGCTTGGCAAAGCCTAGGCCTATTCCAGTTAGACCGCCATGTTTTGACTTCTAGCCGCGCTAGCCCCTTTGAGCCAATGAGATCGAGTGTTCGCCAACAACACCGCACAACTTGCGACAACATCACCGCTTCAACCTCCTGGCGCTCGAGGAACACACCCCTACGCGCTGGGCCAAGGAGCACGGCTAGCCACTGCATGCCGTGCAACTTTGCATGGCCAAACACAGAGTCAACATGTTGAAGATCTGGGATTGTCGAGACGCGCAGTGTCTCCCTGGCCAAATGCCAGTTTCACCCCGGATGCCTCATACAAGAAGGCTCTCCTTCTTGCAGATTTCTTCCTTTCGTCTTTTTCATTGAATCTCTTTTTTCCATCTCTTTATCTGGGCGTTTTGTTGCAGCCCTGATAGACTCGTGCCCATTCAGCTTTAATATTGTAGACATACTTTTCTTCTGTGTTGATAGCCAATTGCAACAACTTGCGCTATCTTTCTAATATTCACGCTTTGTTTTTCAAGATGCAGACCAAAAGTTCGATTTTCATCTTGCTGTCATTCTTGACCTCTTCTTTTTGTAATCCAATATATCGCTACCCTCCGAATCCTCGAATACGCCGTGCCATCACCGGCAGCAACGGCACCGAGTCCAACACAAGCCGGGTGTCTATAATAAACTCACTTGTCCTGACCGTGACGATTCCTCCCGCTACGGCTACTGCAAACACTTATACAGCGGAGTCGGAGGTCACATTCTGCGTGGAACTCGTGGATTCTGGTGGCACCGGGGCTCCGTCGGTGGCGCTATGCGCGCCCTCTACAACGACGAAGTCAACAAATATCCCAAGTGCGACAGCTGGAGTACATGGGAATGACAGTAGCACTACAATGGACCTTCCAACCATTATTACAATCACTGACGTCTCCACCTCCACGCCCGACCCCGACCCTGAAACTTACTTGACACCGACACTCATTTCGTCGACAGCTGGGCGCGGCGGTATCAAACCCTCAAATCTAGGCACCGGAGCTCCCACAACTACCTTGATTCGAACCACAAAACGGCCATGTCCTAGTTTATCCCTTCCAAGCGCCGTTCCTCCTCCCATCATACCAATAACCATCACACTCCCAGACGCGGACGGCCCTGCAAATCCAGGGGCTACCGCGACACCAAGCTCAGATGTGGTTACTGACACGGTGATTTCGGATCTACCTACTATAAGTACCGTGTCTCCACATCTATCACTCCTTCGATTTCTTTTGAACCCTCTAAATGCCCCGCCATCGAATACTCCACCATCGAGCTCCCCGTGG